AACATTCCTTCCAACTTTTGGAAGCGTTGCCAACCTGCACTAAAGGCAAAGGCTTAAGCTTCTGGTGGAGCCAGCTCAGCCCACACATCCCGCCAATGACTTAATTCGGTCCAGCAGGACCCAAACATTTGTATCTGCTGTTATTTAGAGCCCCAAACAGGCTAGTGGGCAGCTGCTCAAGGCAGGGTATGGTGTAATGATGGGCATTCTCATGGTACTTTGGATACAGCCCAAGTGAGGAACCAACACAGAGTCCAGGGTTTGGGATTGGAACACTTCTCATTCCCAGTGGCCAAAGAACAAGAAGTAGTGAAAGGGGTCCTTGGTGAAAATGGGATACCTCCAGCCAGTGATTTTCCAACCCTGGCAAACCAAGGCATTTCTGAGACCTCAAAATATAGACCCAGGGCCGTGATTGCCAAGAAATTTTCTGAACAATGGGACCAGTGGCCTACTGACTACCCAGCATCTACAGATTCATTCTCAGCCCTACCCAGAGGTATGAGCAAAATGGCTGAATTTGAATATTTAGAAAAGGAGAATCAACAAGAATCCCTCTTGGAACAGGGCATGAGAGATGATGAAAGTCTTCGGATATCAAATCACAACTGGGAGTTCCATCAGGATGAGCAATCACCTTAAATTAGAGCAAAGATTCTGACTGGTGATGTCAACATTAAAGACATTCTTGGGCTCTTACCACATGAATGTCCTAGCTTTGCCCTTCCACATCTATCCACAAACGCACGTAATTCTCCCCAAATTCCAGAGCTCCGTCTTGCCCCTCTCATCTGTTGCTTCCACTATCATGTACACAGATTGTTTCCAACCCTGAACAATTTCATGAGCTTTTGGTATGATTAAGGTCTCCAAGTGTGTAGTCAGAATGATAGATATCACCACCTATCACAGGTTGGCTTAGCCTCAGGGAGAAAGGGGCCTCAGGGCTCGTTTGCATGGGAGTTTTGGCAGGGGTGGGAGGGGGGAAGCAGGGAGAGCATAAACATTTGAGTGCTATTTGAACAGAGGGTGCAGATTTGCGCATCTGAATTCACTCACTCTTTGAAGAATGCGCTTTTACTGAGCTCATATATAAGCAAGGCACTGGTTGTATAGAATTCGAGAGAATTAGTCCTTTTTCTCTCAAGGAGCTCCCAGTCTGTGGTTAGACAAGAGCTGATGGAGGCTAAAGAAATCAGTTCTTTTAAAGTAGGTGTAAAGATCAGTGCTGTGCAAGGGGAGATAAGTCCTACAAGGAGACTTTTGTTTCTCTTAGGAGTGGGACAAAATTGCCAAAAAACCCACTGCATTCTGTGAGTGCTCCAAGGCTGGGAGCAGGTCTTGCTGATCTTCATTTTCCCAGCACAAGAAGAGCTCAGTGGGTATTTGTAGAAGGAATAAATGAATGAACAGAGAGTTGAATGGAGCAACTAGCTGCTTCTTAGGGGTGGAAGAAAGTTTTCTTAAAGAACACCATCTTTAAACAATGTTTGGAAGTATGACTAAGCCTTCGCCAAGCAGATAAGACAAGGAAGGGATCCTGGGCAGAAGGAACAGTGGGAGAAAATGCACAAAGCAGGCATCAAAGAACAGGGAATGTTTGGCTGAAGTCCGATGCATGTTGGTTACCCACAGGAGAGAGGGCTCAGGCCTGGTTGAACAGAGCCTTGGAAGCCATTCTTAAGGGTTGAGGCTTTGCAAATTATGGGAATTGCTAGGCAGGGGTACTATTGAGGAACATGCTCAGGACCTCTCTTCTAAAGTTTAAAAAATATTATTTACCTGTGACTGCGGGGCTGTTAATGCTGGAAGCCCTCTGAGGTCATCTAACCCAGCCCTTCCATTCCATGCATGGGAAACCCCATGGCGCAGGGAGGGAAGCAAATTGTCCGAGGTCTCATGGCACAGTTAGGAATAGACTCCAGGTCTCTGGAGTCTGGTTTCCTCTCCACAGAGAGATCTGCGTTTGAGGCTGAGCCTTGCTCTCCCCCTATAGTGCAACCTTAAGCTATTTACCTAACTGCAGTTTTGTCATCTGGAACATGGAGATAACACCATTAGCTTTTTGAGTTTGCTGTGGGGGGTTAAATGAAATAATGCATGTCAAGTGTCTCGGTTGCTTGATGCCTGGCAAGTGGTGTGTGTTCAGTTGGAAGTGACTGGTATTATTCCTCCCTTCTTGGGTCTGTCTCCACTCCAGTGTTTCATCCCGTTGCTTGTCTCTGGTGGTGGTGGTGGTCCTGGAATCCTGCAGCACTCCCACCGTAGCTAAGCTCATCAAAGGAGCATTTCTCAGGCTGTCCTGTAAGTCAGGGGCATATCCTGGCTTCATAGGGATTAGGGCAAATACTGATTTTAAGAACAGTCATCTTCAGTCTGGTTTACAGAGCCATAGTGTGCTCTTTTAGAATAAAAAAATGAAAAGACATTGAAGGAGGTATGTATACACCTGGCACGGGTGGAGTGATTTTTACCATGCAAATTCACAAAGGGATTCACGGTAGTTGTCCTTTAAATCACCAGTTCCTCTTCGTGCTCTCACTCAGGAGTCAATTTCTCTGACATGATTCACGCCAACTGTCCAGGAAAGGGCCTCCTGCTCCCATAATCTTGTCACACCTGGCCTTCTCGCAAGATTCCCTTGAGTTTTGAGCTGAAGCAGCCGAATCTTGGAAGAAGGACACTACAGCCAAGGCAGACTGTAGGAGGCGCCATGATTTTATATGACACCAAGGAAGAAATAGCACTGCTAATTTTAGCAATAAGATGCCATCGATTGAGAAACAAATCCTGATTTCAGAAATGTTAAAAGTGTGAAAAAATATACAGGTGACACTTGAACAAGACAGGTGTGTGCACTTATATGAGGAATTTTTTTGATAAATATAGTACAATGCGGTAAATGTATTTTTCTTCTCCCTAAGATTTTCTTAACATTTTCTTTGTTCTAGCTTACTTTATTGTAAGACTGTGGTATATAATCCAAAGAACATACAAAATATGTGTTGACTCTGTTATTGGTAAAGCTTCTGGTCAACAGTAGGCTATTATTAATTCAGTTTCTGGGGAGTCAAAACCCCTAATTGACTTAGGTGCTCCTGAGCCCCCACGTTGTTCAAAAGTCAGCTGTACTTCTTGGAATCACTGAAATGCAATGTTTGAGAAACAGGATCAGCTGGATACTAATGGCAGAATGAGAATACACAAATGGGACCAATCCCCAAGTTTTATTTGGCTTCCCATTATTTTTGAGAGGGGAAAGACAATACTAATTCGTAAGCTCTGCGGGATAGACCCTGGGTCTCTTTTGTTCATCACTGTACCTCCATGACCTTGTTCATCGTTGGGTTTCAAAAAATACTTGCTGAATGAATAAAAAAGAGCCACGTTTTAAAACATGTGGAAAACCCAGAAAAAAAAAATCATTCAAAATTCCCCTACTGTGGGTATTTTGGCTTATTTCCTTTGAGTCTTATTTCCTATGAATATGTTCTTTTATATACATGTAAACATAATTTATTATTAGATTTAGCTCTGGGATGTGTTTTTGTATTTCTCTATTAATATGAATGAAATGAATTGAGATGATACAGAAATGCTTTGAAGAGTTGTAAAATGTTTAACCAGATATCTTATTAGTTATAATACTACTAACAAGTCTGCTCTGGATGAGGCTGATTTTCTGAGAACACACTTCAAAGCAAACAATAAATTTCTTCTCTGAAGCCTGAATGGGCTGTTCTGCATCATGCTCACCGTGGGGAGTCCCTCAGTTTCCTTTTGGGAGGAAAGAGACTCAGTTATTCTTAGAAGTCCTGAGCTCCAGCTTCCCACTCAGTCCAGAAATTTCTTTAGTGTCGCTCAGGGAGGGTAAGTCCCTGCCTGAGAAAACTCAAGACTGTCAAAAGAATTTACTATCTGCTCCAGACAACACCTAAAAATATGGCTTCCGTCCCCTTGTATTTGTGGGCAGATAGGAGTCTAACTCTGACAAGTGCCAGTTAGCAAAACCAAGGTGGGTTTCTCATGGACCCGTCCCCCCTTCCTGCTTTCTGCCATTTTTCACATCCATGACTCCGCTCCAGGCCCTTCTGTTCCCCTCATGTTTCCATTAAGATGCCCAGCCACCTCTGTGAAAATGGAAGTTGAGTTCCATTCATGCTGAACCCTTGTTCCTACTGCAAGGGTATATTTTTGATTAAAATCTGTCCTTGTCACTTTAACGAGGTCTCGCTATGCTTGCCATTGGCAGTACTCAAAAGCCCATGAGGCTAATAGCTTGGGTTCTGGGCTCACTAGTGCTCCCTGTCTGTCTGCATGCCTTGACTTGTTAATCTGTGTTCTCGTCCTTCTTGACTCCAATCCTCAGCCCTGAACTTGGCTCCCTGCCATCTGCTTCATGACCTCCTTCTTTGTCCTTAAAGATGAGGTTTTCTGGCTGTGCCACTTGTTCCCCTCCTGGCACACCCTTACATGCTCATTTCTGATCTCCCCACCAGCCTCATCCTCTGGGGTCTGTGGAGGCCAGCCAGCGTGCCAGCCTCTTCTGCCACTGCCTCAAAGCCAACATCACACCCACTATGTGTTGCAGTGGAGGCTGATCTTGGCCCTCAGCAAGTATCCAGGCATTAAGTACAGGGGACAGTTTGGGAAGCCCACAGTACCAATGATTTCCCATAAATTCAGACAGTTCTAGAACACCCCCAACACAGGTTCTGGAAAAAACACTCACCCAATTTGGTGAAAAAGAAAGGAAGCTGGGTTTCTCTTACACCCAATTTTAGGAACTGACAGGTGGTATGGGAGAATTGGGTTAGAGAGTTTAGCTGATACCCTTCTCCAGTTTCTAGGTGAGACCCTGTTCCAAGCCCAGCCCCACTCAGGCCTCTTGAGTGGACTCAGAGCCTTCCAAAATTGGGAGTCCCATTTCCGCTCCTCATGCCTCTGCAGGTGGCTGGCATAGGTCCAGGACCACTGGTCCGGGGAGCCCAGGAACTTACCCTCTGCTCCTGGGTGGCCACGAAAGTCTGGAACCCTGGAGCCACCCCAAAGCCCAGTTCTTGGATGAAAGGTGGCTCAGACTGACTGTGGATCTGAACCTTCACTCCTGCTTCAAATGTCGTTTCCTCTGAAAGGACAAAGAGAGCCATGGGTCAGCAACAGCAGATGCTCACAGACTCTTGGGATTGAGAAGCTCAAATGGATGTTAGAAAGGCCACGTGAGGGGCAACATCATGGCCTGCAAAGGTACCCACATCCTCATCTCTGGAAACTATTAAGATGTTACTTTGCATGGCAGAAGGGACATCGCAGATGGGATTAAGTTAGGGACTTGGAGATGGGGAGGTTATCCTGAATTATCTGGGCAGCCCAATGTCATCACAAGCGTCCTCGTGGGAGGGAGGCAGGAGGGGCAGAGTCAGAGGGAGAATGGAAGAAAGCTTGGTTTCTGGATTTGGACATGAAAGGAGGAGCCACAAGCCAGGGGATGCAGGCAACTGCTAGTCACTGGACAAGGCAGGGGAGTGGATTTTCCCTCCAGAGCCTCTCCAAGGAATGCAGCCCTGCCAGCACCTAGATTTTAGCCCTGTGAGACCAAGATTTGGACTTCTGGCCTCCAGAACTATAACAGAATAAATTTTTGTTGTTTGAAGCCACTGTTTGTGGTATCTGTTACAGTAGCTCTCAGAAGCTAATGGGATTAGGAACTGAGTCAAGCTAGTGAATACTAGCGTCTCTCCTGGGTCATGAGTTGAGGTTGAGGAGATCAAGAGGGGAAGAGACCATGGATGACACAGCAGTAGAAATGAAAATAGAGGACATGCTTGTTAAGCTAAGATGACCAGGGCCCCTTGGAGGTGCAGGAGATGGACAACCAGAAGAGAAGCTTCTGCTTCTTTCACTTGGCAAGAGAAATGGACCTTGGCAGTGGGAGGTAACAAGAGTGATGGAAGGTGATGGGATGGCAGAGCCTGGTTCATCCTAAACATTCACAATTGGAGGCGAATGCACCTGTGGGATATATGAGCCTTTCCTGGGTCTCCTCTGTCTTACTCTTTCCAAACAGCCTGCAGAGGGAGCTTTCCAGCATGCAAAACCTGCACAACTCTCTCCCATGCTGATAAGGAGCCTCCTTAACCTGCACCTGTTTGTTTCCAGCCTTGCTCAGGGCGCCTCCTGCTTCATGATGCCAGGTGGTCCAACCCTCTCGGGCTGCCTAGATTGGTTGTTACTGGTCTCTGCTCTGCATGGATGCACATGCTTTTCCTTCTGCCTGGAATGCCTTTCAACCTTGTCCACCTGATCTATCTCCTTACTCGTCAGTGAAGATTCAGCTCCCAGCCCCACCCAAAGCAAACCCGTATCTAGCTCTGTTCTATTCTTTACATAGGCCTGATGAAGCCTCTGCCACACCAGGCGCTAATCCTTTATCTGACAGCCTCGTCCACCAGGTTAGAGTATCCTTAGGCAAGTTCTGGGCTGTGTCTCTGGATCTCAAAGTCCTGCACAGGTCCAGGCCATATAGCAGGCACTCAGGCAACAACGCCCTCTGAGTGAATAAGGGATTAGTGACTCAAACCTCAGTTATTAATGGACAAGGCCAATCTAGAGTCAAAATCAAGGAGTGTTCTCAAAGAAGGGAATGGGGAGAGGATAGGTAAAAGCAGGAAAAGGGGAAGATGGAGTGGGGGAGAAATAGAGGTTGATGTCAGGGAGGGAGGGAGGTGTTAGCACTGGACCATAGACTGGGGATGAACACTGCCAGGAAGGAAGGGCTGGGGCCAGGAACAGGAACGGGCGAGGACCACAGACAGCCGGGTGGCCAGTGACAGAAGCAGGGGAAGGGAGTCAGAGCTGGGTGAGAATTCCAAGGTAGGGGTACATGGACCAAAAGGCTCGGTAGGTACACAGGGAAGAGCAGGAAGGATAGGCAGGGGTTCCAGAGTCCAGACTTGGAGGCCAGTGGCTGACATGGCATTTAGGGAGAGGAGACCCTCAGCCAGGGATCCTTTCATAAGATGTTAGAGGAATGGGAGACGATCCCAGGCAATCCACACACTCCCTTCCCTCCAGTGGTCAAGCATTCTGCTAGGTTTTTACCCAGATTGTCCATGTGCAGCCTGCTGCCAGAATGTCCCGGGATGCCTGTGGTTTGGGGCCCTTCTCTCTTGTGGATGGTGAATGTCGCGGAGAAGAGAGCTCCCCTTATTCCTCCCAGTGCCACACAGGTGCATCGGGGAAGGGGACTGTGGGAGATGGAGGGTGGGTGGGAAGGGGAGGGGTGAACTTGCCCAGGGGAGGGGTTGAGGAGAGGTCAGGAGCCTGAAGAACAGGTTCAGATGGAGAAGGAGCAAAAGTGGCATGATGCTGGGATCACAGGGATGCTCATGCTTGGGATGAACTGAAGGCCTGTTCAGTGAGCTGTGAGGGGTGGAATGGGAAAGATGCCAAAACTTGTTTTCTGGAGCTCTCTGAAGCTGTGTGCCTGCTATATAACTGAACTTAGGGGACCTCAGAGTCAGTAAGACACCAGGAACTCCCTATGTGATTTCGATGAGCTTTCCAGTTTGAGAACCTCTTAGTTACCTGATCTGAGCCTTTGGCTCTAGCCAAATCTCTGGAAATGCAGATGCCTGGGCAACAGGTTATCTGAGGCCACATGCATGTGGGCAAGTAGCGATCTAGTCCAGAGAGGGGAAGTGACTTGACCAATGTCACACAGCAAGTCAAGCATAGAGTAGGGGCTGGAAGTTATGAGGTCCCCTAACTTCCAATTCATTCCCCACTCTTTGGCAGCTGCGAGTCTCCCCAGGTTCTGGTTGGACACAGGGAAAGGCCAGCACCGCATATTGCCTGTCCATGTCGCAGGACTCTGGGGTCTCTCCCGCTGAGATGCAGGTGGGCTGCACATAAAACCACATCACCAGCAAATATAACAATAACAGTAATTGGGACCACCGATGCAATTTTTGGCGTCCCAGCGCAAAATGTAAATGTGGGGCCCCTTATTAAAAAATTATTACGAATTTCTCGTCCTTCTTGATGAGATTAGCTTGCCACAGCAGAGCTAATTAAACCAAGACTGTGGCCCTTCGGAGCATGGGGACCTGTGTGACCTCACGGGTTGCGCATCAAAGGAGCCAGCCCTGACAATAACCCAGACTGACGTGGACATATTTCTTCCCAGCCTCATATTCCCCTCACCACAAAATGATTCAACAATGAGCTGCTTCAGAGTGCGGGCCGCCAGTGAAGTATTTGTTTACACTTCATGAACACCAGGATTCAAAGCCCCCGAGAGAGAGCGCGAGAGAGCACAGAGAAAGGGAAAGTTACTACATACACAGCGTTAGGAACCCTTCCTTGTTAATTGGGACCAAACATGAAAGAAAATGTTGGATCAGGAGGAAAGCTGTAAGGTGCGTCCAACCTGCAGAGGCCGGAATACCCTAGCCCTTTTCAAGAGCACAGCCGTGGCCAGCTCAAGGTGAGGTCTACTTGTAGAGCGTTTTCTGTGAGGGCAGAAAGGGCTTGGAACTGGGGGAGGAGATGGGTGAGCCATGGGCAGAATGCATAATGGGGCCGGGAAAGTACATCGCAGTAAAAGAAGCTTAAATCTTTAATCTTTGCAAACTACAGGAAACATGCCGAGGAAAGAAACACGGGGGAAATAGGAAGGGAAGATTTACTGAAAAGCCGGAGGAATTTTCTAGGCTAAGGCAGGGATGTGTTGATACAGAGCTATCTGTGTTGGCTGAAGCCAACTTTGTAACAGTGGCTAGGATAGCTAGCTGGAGGGGAGAGGGTAGGAGGGAGGCCAGCCACACGGGGGCTCAGTGCAGGTCAGCCTTTCCTGGTGAAACAAAGGCTCAGAGCGGTAAGCTTACCACAGCGAGCAAACCCAGCATCAATCCCTGGCTATCCGTCCCCAAGGCTCTGCTCTTTACCCTCTAACATCTGGTCTCGCTCAGAGAGCATACCTTTCCAGTGTCATTGCCCACAGTCTCCATCGGGTAATTCTCCTTTGAGAGCCTACAGGCCCGGACTCTGAGCCACTCAGCTTTGCATCCCCGGTAGAAAGTAGCAAACAACTATACTCACATGAGTGTCGTGAGCTTTGGGGTTTTCACAGACTTCACTTCCTGGATCCTCCCAGCCTTCCTGAGATAGGCATCAATAACCCCACTTATAGAAATAAAAATACATATACATATATAATTACATTTTTTTTACATGGTATCTATTTTATAGATGAAGAAGCCAAAGTCCAAAGAAAGGAAAGGACAGGCCCAGGGTCTATGACTCATGGCTGCCTAGAATTTTGGAGCTAAGAGAGTCCTTGACACTGCTGAAATCCAACTAACTTTTCATCTTGCTGGTGAGAAAATTGAGACCCACAGGGACGAGTGACCAATGGCCACATGGCAAGTGATGGCCTGGCATAGCCCAGGGAACTAGTATCTTGATTCCTCACCCTCTTCAGCCCTTTGTCAGTCGGCTAGAGGAAGCACTTGTCCCAAGTGACAAACCAGTAAGTGTTCAAGCTGTACAGGGATGGAGGGAGAGAATTATTTAATTGACATTGGGTTCAGCAGCCTGTGTTCTCTCATCTTAGAGTTCAGAGGAAAACGCACTGTGTTGGGCAGTGACAATGATAGGGACTGAGGTGCTAGCCCTAGACCTTGAGAGCTCTGGTGCAAAGTGTCTGCCAAACATTTTTTGGGTGCCATCTTGGTTCCTCCTGTTCCGGCATGCATAGAGGAATCCAAGGAGGCTAACTTTGGGCCCTGGGAAGGGGGGCAGGGGAGGGTCCCAAGAAAATTGTGGGCTCTGACATCATGGAGCCCTGGGTCTGACTCCCAGTCCCACCTCTTAATATCTGTGTGACTTCAAGCAAGTTATATTGCCTCTCTGAGCCTTAGTTTCTTCTTGTTTAAATTAAAAGAAGGGATGATCCTTCAGGTGATTTTTTAGCCTTGCAATTCTGTGAGCAGGGGATCATGCACAAGTCTCCTAACCTCACTGCATCTCTTTTTAATTTCCTGAAAACTAGAGTAAAAAATACCCAACATGGCTGGTCAGCACTCGCAAGTCAGGGAAAGCTAGTTTTCTAAAGACAACGCAAAG